TATATATATATATATATATATATATATATATATATATATATATATATATATATATATATGTATATATATATATATATATATATATATATATATATGCAATACGGCTAAAAACCAAGTCGGCAAGTCTGTCGGCAAGTCTATCTACAGCGTATACTAGGGCCTATATGTATATAATTTTATATATATAGTATACGCTGTAGATCTTGCCGCGACTTGCCGACAGACTTGCCGACTTGACTTTTAGCCGTATTGGATTGTAGTATACTGTATTAAAGAGTAGATACGGCTCAATTGATATTGTATCCTCAGCTGTGTTGCCCAGTTGTAGTAACTGCGGATACCATCGTCAATTTCAATGCAATAGGCTACATATTTATGCAGTCATAATTCGCAGCAGGTACGAATAACCTTTATATATATACAATTAATTGACATGAACAAACATCGTGAGTTCGAATCTCAGAGTGAATGGAAATAATTTTCAATTTTTCTCTTTGCCGTGTTTGTTTTTTTTTTCTCGTTTATTTGCTTGTTATATGGCTAGATATAGAAATTGGATTTGAGAAGCAACGGGTATGGACGCAACTGCCTGAAAAATACGAGGAGAAATTTGGCGTTTCGAGCGAAGGCACTTCGTTTGGAGTTACCAACCGGCTAGTATAACTCCAGTCGAAGAGCTCTCGCTCGAAACGTCGAATTTCTCCTTATATTTTCAAGTTATAGCTTCAAGTCAAGGCCCTAGCTCTGTCTGGAGTTATCGGCCTGCTAGTTTAACCTTGCTTGACGAAGGGCCCTCGCTTGAAACGTCGATTTTCTCCTCATATTTTTAGATATAGTTGCATCCCCACAAACGAAAGCTTGACTATATTATTGGCACTATCTATGCACTGGCACAAACAGTAGCTAAATGACACAATATCTCACGATTCATCCTTTCCAAAACCTACACATACTACCATGGTGTTCGTATATGTTACCACAGAATATTCACCATACTCTTTTGTCAATAATATATGTCTATCCAATGCTGACCCTGGAACATTCACATAACCATTACAATATAACACCCGAGTAATATTACCTTGGACATGTCCATACGTCTATATGAGGACTCCTTCCACTTCTCTAGCTCTTAGACCAAGCTTTGCCATTAGTGACTTGGTTTTGGTTCAAAATATCCAGTTCGAGACGCCAAAGCTTTCTCGAAGAGCGGGAATTCCTCCGGAGTTATACAGATGTCAATATCGTATTTCCAGGCATCGCTGAAATTGCCACCAGGAATGCACATTTGAAGTTGGACGCAAATAATGACAATTGCTTCAATTTTGCGCACATTCCGCCCGTAACGCTTGGATGTTGCGCGCACAAGAGACCATTACTCGAAAGATAATATAAAACCATCCCGGTTGCCAAAACTGTTGTTAGAATACATAAACCCAATTCAGGTAGTCTGAACTGACTGCCTCTCAACAGAAAGACGCGAATAAAAGGAATTATAAACTGTTCAGTATATCGGGTACGGCATCACTTGCATTGGGTGTACCAATAGTAAGGAGACTGAAGCCATGAACATCGAAGCCATATTCGCCTTGTAAACCACGGTGTATTAACATTGGAATGCCAAGCAGAAACGGTAGTAACAGTAACAGAAGTAGAATGCATTTCCAGTAATAAAATTTCCTTCCATTGTGGATAACTGTCACCCCACAAAGAAAGACGAGTTTTAAAAGTGCTAATGCAATTTTTATGATTGCATTGCTATATTGTAAGTGTAATTGCTACAATAAATTTTTCACGCGATTGTTTACAGTACAATGTCAAAGTGATAATGATAATGGATACACATAAATAATAAGTACGTAAGATTCATAAATTAAAGATTACTGGACCTATCAGCTTTATGCTCCGACTTTCTTTCAACCCACCATTATACTTGCAAGATCCGTGTCAATGGTTCGTGGTCTACGACAAGAACTACCCGAGAAAAGGTCTTATTCTCCCCACACGTCTGGGAAAGGAATTCCTTCCCATTATGTCTAAAAAGGTTGTATACATGAAAATAGGAGCTACTCCGAGTGACGAACCATACAAGTAGAGAGAGCTCGAACTCACGTTCTTCAGTTTACTAGTCCAATGCTCTACCGACTGAGCTACAGGTCAAGTTGAGAGGCTGGGAGCATGTCCCTGGGATGGACTGGAAGGGTTTTTGTTATTTTGAAACTGAATCATAGTTTTGAGTTTGAATCTCAGTCGGGCCAAGTAGAGTTTTCTCTACTTTAATGGTTCGTATGGTATCGTTCGTCACTCGAACAACCTCTTATCATTATTACTGTCCAGCCGATTTTACTCTCCCACAACAGTTGAGGTTGTATACAGTTTGATAATTATTGTCATTATCATTGCAAACTTGTCGAGAAAAATTTAAGTATGAGAAAAAATATTGCAGTGGTCAAGATGAGAAAAAAGTCCATGCACAGCTATTTCACTAGAAACAAATACTTGCGCAGCTTGGCTGAAAAAAACAATTTTCCTTCCAAGAGCAATTCTTCCAAGCCCCCCTTCAAAAATCTAATGTTCCGCCTCTAATTTGTTCAAATTTTAGGAAACTTTAAATTAGATCTGGATGCTAATTGGCGAACTTAGATTGTTTGGCAAACTCTCTTATAACTTGTTTCATTCTTGAGATATTTAACAATTAATTTTGATATGCAATGAGTTTCTTAAAAACTTGATGAAGCCGTGCACATGTGTTGCATAAACAAATGCTTAGACTTGTTATTAGCCTGCGCAGCAGTCGCTTTATTATATTGTAGGTTTTGAGGATTTTTGATTCAAAAATCCACAAAATCTACAATAAAATAAAGCGACTGCTACGCAGGCTAACTTGCTATAAGTCGACCTGACTACCGTTAATTGACGTCCGCAAATCCCTTACTCTTCAAGAAATTACTTCCTTTTACATTCCTTCGTTGTAATTAAAGATGAAGGACTTTGCGAAAGTCTAATATATGCTTTATGTCGACAAATTTGAATGATAGAGGACTCTCGCACATTTTGTTTGAATAAAAACTAACTTTAAAATATTGTTAAATGTTGTTACATGCGGTTTCAATTAGCGACAAGAAAAAATAAAAAATCGGACTCCGACCCCAAGAGTGTGCCGGGGTTTGCAGGAAAAAGTAGAGCCGATAAAAAGACTGGCGCGAGTAACTAGATTTAAAATTATCGTCGTTTATTCGGAATTTTTAATTTTTTCTTCGTATTCCAAATATACTCGCGTACTAGCGATTATAAGCGGTAAACTAAAAAAAAGATTTTGAATAAAAAAGCGATGAAACAAAAACGTGTCAGGAGTGGGATTTGAACCCACGCCCACATGGAACTAGAACGCCGATGCTCCAGTATACTGGAAAGGTGTCTACCTTGAGTCTAGCGCCTTAGATCGCTCGGCCATCCTGACTATACATGATTGTACACACATATATATATATATATATATATATATATATATATATATATATATATATATATATATATATATATATATATATATATATATATATATATAAATATTTATGTTTAGATTTATTGATGTAACTTGTGTGAACGGCCCCTTGGAAAACAGTTTTTAACTATAACGATAGGGCTACCGTTGTTAAATATTTTTAAATAATAAATAATAATAATACAAAACTTCGGTACACTCCTTGTTTAGCTTCGTGTTCACCGCGCAGACAAAAACAATAGAAAGGGACTGGAACTGACGTCCAATCAATAGCTCTTCAAGCTCT